CACTATATACTACATCCTGACAGGTTTTGAGGACATTCTGGAACGTGACCTTTTTTGACAAAATCGACATCAAAAGCAAGATCAAATGTCATCAAACGCACTGTTCTAGATAGATAGATAGATAGATAGATAGATAGATAGATAGATAGATAGATAGGTCATATATGCTATAATTCTGTTGGACCCCAGGAAGAATAGCTGTGGCTTTGCTGCAGCTAATGGGGATCTTCATAAACTAAACTAAAGTAAACCTGCAAACCATTACATGAAGGTTTCTGTGTCATCCAGGTGGGACTGTAGTCACATGCCTCCCAGTCATATGACAATGACCTCATTCATGGTGCTCTCAGCACATTGGCCTCCTCTCTGTTCAACAAAAATCCAGTCCTGAGTTTATTAGCCACCTTGTTTCATGAACACAAACAACATTCTTTACCCCTGACCCACTGTGCACAAGCCTCACAGCCACTCTATCAACTAGCACTTAGTGAAAAGCGATCTATTCTATTGGACATGTGTTGACTAATAAGTGGTGTATTTTTTTTGTACCATTAATGATACTATATTCTGTCTTTTCTTTGAATGGATTCTCATTTTGGAACACTTTATGGTACAGTTGTGCTTCCTGAGCAAAACATTCACCTGCCGGCAATGTACATAAAGATACTGGCTTTTATCACCTTTTATCACCTTTTATCACGACCGTGGTCTGATAACAGAGGTTTTAATCAGCGTAGGAGGGATTGACTTTCATGGTGTTGGAAAAAAAAAAAAAAAACCCGGAAGCAAGGTCTGCTTGCACTGCAGCATCAGTGCTTATAAAGAGCGAGTCTCCTCCCAAGAACCACACTGTTTGTGACTGCCTGAGAACAGAAGCGTGGAATCCTACAATATGAGACTCTTACTGGTGCTAGCGTGCTTCCTGGCAGCCTGCCTGGCAAATCCTCACCCATGCTGTAAGTAGAACAAGAAAGAAAATAGCAGAGATGATGTGTTTCTTTTTATGCGTTGTATCATTTATGCTTTCTTAATATCCCAGAATATTTGCATCGTCATTGCTCTCCATTGCTGGCTGACAGCCCTGTTTAATGTCATTTCTGAGCCAAGAGTGTACTTTTCTTTGAGAATTTATAATTTCACACATCTTCTTTACACAGATACTCCTCCGTTGCTCACTGGAGCTCTCACTTTGGTATGCTTCATGGAAAGAACTTCAAAGTATTTACCCATTGTAAAAGTGGAAGATGTCAACTAACTCACTGTATGTTTCTCCAGTCCACACAGAACGAAGAGCTGTGGGTTTTTGCCAAATACCTGTATGATGGAATTGGACAACGTCTTCGGGTCTTCGAGCTGGTAAATTACAAAAATCAGTCATTGACCGTTGACCTTCTGCTGCTCTACAGAGAGGTAATCTAACCAAACACTTGAACGTCTGTTATATTTATCAGTCACAACCGATCAAAGCTTAAAGGTTCAAGGATTTCTTTTATTAAAAAAATCTACTTTAGGATATTTATCCAGCAGGATTATACTCAATGTGTACACTCAGTTTAAGAAATTCAACAACAACGATGTTTTTCTTAATTTTAGTGAAATGAAATGTCACCAGTTTGGGCTTCTAGCTCAATAAAAAGGGGTCCATGCAGAAAGACAGCATTGAAGAAGTGCTGCACATAGGCGTATCTGAAAAAATGGGGCAATAGTAAATCATTTACCATGGCTTAGCACATCTAAAGGATCATAATGTCTTAAGACTCTCACTCTGGGCTTGACAAAATTGATGATGGAAATTCAGGTGCAAGCACTTCTGTCAAAGTACACATTTAAGAGCTCAAAGATCCATGTAGCATTCTCATTTCAATCTACACACAGCAGTCTCTGTAACTTTGTTGCACTTTTTTCCCCACAACTCATCCATTAGGCCGCTGCGTATGACATTAAAGACAGAAACCACACATGCGCAAAGTACCCTCTGAAGCAACACTTCCAGCCTTGGCATGTTCCAAAAGATGCAACTCTGTTGGGCCCAGCCATTTTGGGAAGCTCTTCTGGACCTGGAGAGGGACTCCTGGTCAACACCTGGATGGGAGATTTGCCCGACAAAACAGGTAAGACAATGTCTAATGAGCACATAAAGTATAAGTATTCACACTTTATGGAACACATTTTTGTTTATTTTCATCTCCTTCCAGGAAAGTACATAGCCACCGTCACTGAATTTGGATGCATTCCCGTATCAACTTCATACCAGACTAAAGAGTATGGATGGGTGGTGACATCGTAAGTTTACATTAACGTCAATAGATGAAAAGCACAAGCTGACATGTTTGCATCCAGCCTAATAAATAACACATCACCATCTTTCTGTTTGCTAGCCTTTTCGACAACGTCAAAGGGATTACGAATCCCAGTTTGCTCGACCCCCCAGACTTCTGCACCAACGCGGTGACCAGCGAAGAGCCAGTAGATTTCATCAGCCTGCTCCACAAGAATACACGTTAACATCTCAAGTCTTCCTCGTATGATGTTTGTTGGGCTTTGACAAAATTCTGCAAAATCGTACACATTTTTTTCCAAATTGGTTCAGCATTCTTTCACGCATACACACAAAAAGTTAGCAAAAGTTATTCAAATCCAAAATAAAAAAAACAAAAGCAGAAAAAAACATCAATCCATTCATGATCATGACTGTAACCACATTGCATTACAGCGAAATCAACTGATTTTTATATCAAATGTACTTACAGGATCATACTTTCTAACAATGTACTAATGTTCAATATCTAACAATAAACATGATTAACAAGACTGAATGAATGCATACACTTTATTTTTACCTTTCTCTGGCAAAAGGGATAACAATTTCTAATTTTTTACTGCAATGTAAGCAGCTCTAAAGACACCATGGCCTGAAACAGAAAGAACTCAAAAATATCTTCTGTGCAATAAATGGCAATAAAAATAAATAACTAATACAAAAAAATGGTTTGTTGGTTATTTGTTTTACAGAAACCGATCGCACATTGGAATCAGTATGCTCAACAAGTTTCCACAGATGTTATCAGTACTGGTGTAAGAAATGGCGGCTCCACATGCTATAGACGGGTCATTTAACGAGTCCTATTTACATTTTTATGGCTAGAAAAATAATTCAAAAAATAAATAAAAATAATTCACCATGCTAAATGTCTTCCAACAACAGCTCGCTCCATTAAATAACATCAATCAGTCATGTGCTGAGTGTCTGTTTGTTAATGTTTTACAGGATCTGGCTCACATGGTTTATTTTTGGCATTTTTTTTCAATGAGACCTGGAAAATAAAGTGGTGTTTGATGGTATTGATGAAAAATCACAGTTTTATGCTTATTTTTGGTTGTTTTTTTTTTTACTCATGATGCTTTCATTTACCTTAAGAAAGAAATCTGTCTGCTCTTTTCACATTCGTTTTTACAGTTTAATTGTTTTATACGGTGATAAATAGAAACATAAGGTTAAACATTCACAGACTTTGCACCATCAATACTTTGCATGTGTGTCCAGTGACAGAAGACAAAGGTTTAAACATTTTCATTTCAGGAATACTCATCCCTGAATTTTTAGAAGATAGCTTGAAGTTGAATTTTAATGTGACAAAATGACTTTAGTTGATGAATCTTTTTCTTGTTTTCTTTTTTTATCATATAGTACACCAAGATTATGCAAAAAAAAAAAAAAAGCCAGAATCTTTAAAAACAATGGTGCAATATAAGGAGCATTAAAGCCTCATGGGGGCGCTGGAATAACACCTGGACTTCAATTTTTACTTTAATAATGACAGTGACGGTTGTAATAGTTATTAAAATAACCATTAGGAATTTGATTACTTCCATAAAACAAGGAAAATGAGAGGAACTATGATTTCAGTTTTTGAAATTCTCTTTTCTAAATTCTGTAGAGTTTAAAAAGTTAGAGATTCAATATAGATTCATATCATTCCCCTTATTTAGCACTTCAAATAAAAGGCCAACAATGTCTGGGAAAGCAATAAAAATAACATTTTAGTCCAGATTCAAACAGAATATTTGTCAGATGAGTCACCACATTCAATTGTTATTATAAATAGCATCTCTTTATTTTGACAAGGCAGGTGTATGAGCTGCTGAGGACCTGTAGAAAACCTGGCAGACCGGAAGCCTCGCCAGCCTGTTTAAGAGGAAGTAAGCTCTGTGAAGTGGCTTCATGTTTACCACAGTTGCAGAGGAAAGTGAAGCAGACAGACATCGGACAGCATGAGAGTCCTCGTCGTGCTAGCGTGCCTGCTGGTGGGCTGCCTCGCTCAGAGACCACGACCATGCAGTAAGTGCCTCTCTCATCCTAAAGCAGTGTTGTTCTAAGTGATGCCTCCAATCACAGCAGCATGTTGTTGTGTTTATGTTTCAGCATTTATGAGGATTTTATAATGAATAGGTTAACAGCTTAGCCTGTGTGTGATGTAAATGCTCCCTTTAGATTCAAACCCCTTCTTTAATCTTGACAGGATCCCCTCCACTGCTGACTGGAAGCCTTTCTGTGGTGAGTTTGAACTTTTCAGTGACGACACTATGAATGCAACCACCACTGAATATACAGGGTTGTTGTTATTCAAAATTTGAAGGAATTTTCTCACAGTTATCGTCAGCAAAAATAACATTTCCTCCATTTCAAAGTACACCGCAAGTGAGAAGCTGACGGCCATTGCCAGGTACACTTATGACGCTCTGGGTCAGCGCATTCGCCTCATTGAATCTGGATCTTTTAAGAATAAAACCTTCCACATCGATGTTCTTCTCCTCTACAGACAGGTAATAACATAACAGGTGCATCTACATTCGGATGTGCTATGTACAACATTTATAATACCACCTTCTGCTCTAGGGTGTTGCATATAAGATCAACTACAGGAACCGCACATGCAGCAAGAAGACTCTGAGTTCAGCCTTCCATCCACTGGCGATCCCCCGGAACGCCTCCCTGCAGGGCCAGGCTGTGCTGGGCAGCTCCTCCGGTCCAGGCCAGGGAGTCCTGGTCAACACTTGGGTCGGGGAGCTGAAGATGAAGAGCAGAACAGGTACGATAAGAGGAAATAGGACAGAAAAATGGCAAAGTCATGTGGCTTACTGTAGCACATGACAAGTCAGTCGCTGCATTTCTGTTCAAGAACCTGCTTGTCCAGTTGTGCTGCCTCAGCTTGCCTTGTGATCCGTTTGTGTTCCCGCAGCAAAGTACATGAGCACTGTCACCGAGTTTGGATGTGTTCCCGTCAGCACTCTGTTCCATACCGACAAAACCGGATGGATAGTGGCCAGGTCAGTTCACGTACATGACTACTCAGCAGGAAAAAGGGGGTTTTGCAAGACCTAGACTCATCACATGCCTAATTAAAACACAGCCACAATCATTAGTTATTAGGTAATCCTCTGAACCTCGAGTGTTTCTGGGAGTTTCAGTCACTTTTTTACTCACTGTGGACTCATTTTTCACTACAATATAAAATCCTTTGCATTACCATGACTAGAAGGGGAGATAACCCTAATTTGTCCAGAATCATGTAGTTATGTTGCTAGAAATTATCATACAAGAATAAAATAAAGTTAAATTTCTTTGGCTCTGCACATCAACTCCAGAAAGTTATGAACGTATCTTCCAACCACTTGCACAACTTGCTCCTCTGTATATCATTTTTTTTAAAACCCACCTGCATTTATTTTATTGACCAATTAAGTTTTGTTTTGGGCTGCAAGGTGGCTCGGTGGTTAGCACTGTTGCCTCGCAGCAAGAAGGTCGTCGGTTTGCGTCCCGGTGAGGACACCCAGGATTAGTGTCCAGGGTGTCCCCTGCCTTCACCCTAAGTCAGCTGGGATAGACTCCAGACCCCCATGACCCCAGTGAGGATTAAGATAGATAGATAGATGATGGATGGATGTTTTGTTTTGATCTCTTTTGTTGTCTGCTCTGTGCAAACACAGCCTGCAGTTAACCTGAAAAGTCTCTAAATTTTTGTCATTTTTTTGTCTAGAGGATTAAATCTTCTGTCAAACCAGAATACATCCTGTAAAAACAAATATTGTCCAACCAATGAGGAAGTTTTCAAACATCTAACTTTGATACAACTTTTTAAAAAATGACACATCTGAGGAAGAAATCTGAGATCAATTTTTTATTTTTTTTGCTAGATCCATCCCTACTAAAGTCATCGTCCTATCTGTCACTTAACTCTTGAAGTCAAAGCAAAAAGGGGATTTTTTCAAAAACTATTCCTTCAATGTCCACTATAAACACAAAATAACACGACAAAACCATTTTCACTTACAGTTTTACATTTTGCTTTTTCCTCAACTAATCAAAGTCAAAATAAAAAGAATAAAACTACCAGTGAAGCTTGAACCAGTGCTCCCATTAGGACATTTTCTTTGCTCACATTCTGAATTCTTGGAGCCTCTGTGTTCCTGTTTTCAGTAAAGACTTCGCATCTTTTTGCTTATTTCTTGTCCGTTTCATGCATTTTTCTTTTTTATCAGCTTCTTCAACAACGTCATCGGACTTGCGAACCCTGAGCTGCTCATCCCGCCGGCTTTCTGTGAGAATGCCCAGCTGGAGAACGAGGATGGAGAGGATCCGGTGACTTTCTTCAGCATGTTCGTGAAGGACAAGGCTGCTTTTTCCGAAATGTAATGATGCTGCTGTCTACTGATTATTTGCACTGAATTATCACTTTTATCAGTAGCCGTCCTTGGTGAAGCAACATTTTTAACAAGCTGTATCCAAGTAAAAAAAATCAAACTTAATCAGTATGTTGTGGGTTCAATCAATTAAAACATGTGGGAAAATAGTAAAATAAGTAAATTCAAACCTTCTGTGATCTATTTGAACTTAAATATACTGCTTTGTTTAAACTATTGTCGTGTATAAATGTGTGAAGTAAGGCTTAAAAGATAAAGGAAGTTACATATATGCACATAATCATGAAACTTCTCCTTTTGGAGACGGCGCTGGGGTTTTTTCCTTATATGGTTTTACAGAACAAACAGCTGATGGAGGCAGATGAGGATGCAATTACTCGAGTGTGATGAAGATGGTTTGTAGCGAATCAATTATGCATCATGTGATTTAGCAGTATACAGAAGGGTCAGAGGGAAAGGAAGGTGTTCTTACTCTGTCTGACGCTAGAGAGAGTTTGACCTGTAATGCAATATTCAGTGTGTGATTAAACCGATTAATTGAGACCGACCTGAATCTTGTCTCATCTTTAAAAACAAACACGTGGAGAAAAGACAATTTCTCCAACACTATCTAAGACCTACTCCAACATTTCTGCATTTTATTCCACTCGAAATGATTAGATTAGATCTGTAGTGATCTGAGTTGCAGACGGTGAATTATTCTGATGAGGTGTAACAGTCCATCTGATCTGTAGAAAAGAATCAAACAGTCACAAAGCGTTGAATCTCAGATGCTTCGGGAGATTTGTACAACGCCTGTCCTTTGGATGATTCCAGCATCATCCCTCTGCTGCAGCGTGTGACGACTGCGAGGATGTAGTCGAATAAAAGAAAAGTCCTAAATAATACATGCACTTGTGAGCATCTCTTTCATCCCGCAGAACATCAGTCGTAATGTTTCAGCAAAATCCCTTTTTTTTTCAGTCGCTGACATGAACAAATCCTCGAGGTTCAGCTCTCTGTGAAGGCAAAAAAACTGCTTTTTTTAAAGTGGAACAGCTGGAGGAAACTCTTCAGAAGGGAAAAGAGGAGGCGCAAGAACCTCGTGGAATATCTGGCTGAGCTGAGGGAGGATGTTGCCTGCACTGAGCCACGCAGAGGAAGTTCTAGAAAGCGAGAAACTCCGCTGGCAGAAGGAAGAGTCCCAGGGGAGGGCATGAAGGACAAAATTGTACATCTGGAGCATCAAATGGAGACGATCCAGACTCCCCTAGCTCTTTAGAGATACACTGGAAGGAATAAATACACTCTAATTCATGGCCAGTAAATGTAATACTCTAAACTTATATTCAAGGTGGAATGACAGTCGATATTTTAGGCAAACATGCATGCATAGAACTATTTAATCAACTTCTGAGTAAATGTTTCCATGTTAAATTTTCCTCTGCTCACCATTTCTTCCTCTTCTCTCTGCCATCTGTCTTCTCGTTCTCGACATCACAAACAGGAGCAGATCATTTGACTGTAATTAGCTGCACCCACGGTCGAGGGATGAAGCCACCAGCTTTTAAGTTTAACCTCTTCTAGCATTTTTAATCATGCTAGTCAGTGATTTAATTAGCTTTAATGGAGAAACTGATAACAAATTAAAAATGTTAGCAAATCAAAGGCCAAATATCTCACTGTTGAAGACACTAAAGTGCAAAATAAATGAATAAGTGATACAGTGTCATGCGGTCTTTCAGTATCTATCACTGCTCATGTCGCTTGCTTGTGTGCCTATTTGATTGTTTTTACGAGTGCATTATTTCCTCATGGGCCATTTTTACTTGCATGCACCTGCTCTGTAATGGTTTCTACTCCCTTTCCTTTGAGCTTTAATGTAATTACTAAGTACGTAGGGGTAGAGCAAAAACAAAAAAAAAAAAAAAACATAATGCCACAGTGTTAGAAAAGCGTTCCTTAATGTTACATGGACATTTCCTCTAACGTCCTGTAGGCCTAAAAAATTAACCAGGAAATAATTTATCCCTCAGTTGTCCAACATTATTGAAGACCTGCTGGCAGTGTGGTGAATGATTTCTTATCCTGCAGTACACTGCTGAGCTCTGCAGCATGCAAACGATATATCTTCTGGCCACTAGATGGCAGCAGATGACAAGTAATGAAACTGCTTTAGTTTAGAGGTGTAATGATATCCCACATAGAATACACTGTAGACGCTATAAAGATCAGAAAAGAATCAATACAAATGATGACAATAATTGCAATAATGTTCAATAATTTACTTGTTTTAGATTCTTACAGTCCAGAGGTAGAAAATCACTTTGACACAACAGGTTGTGGAGTCACCTGGTAGCAGTAGTAACAAACCCCCTGTAGCTCCCCAACCTCCTGCACCCCGACATCCGCCGCCAGCACCCCCGGATCCTGAGCCTCGGTCTCCAGCCACAGAAGTCTGGCGTCAGGGTCCTCATCGGAGAACTGGAGGAGGGATCCTGAACTCCGCAGCACCTTCAAACACTGCTTCAGCACCAGGCCAGCCTTCCCTCTCCCTTCCTTGCACCTCAACAAGGCGTCAGTGGTGCCCTTGTCGACTATAAGGTCCAAGCTGCTCAAGCCAAAGCACTCGTCGAGCTGCGTGCAGTCCAGCTCGACAAACTCAAGCTGAGACGACGGGTGGTGAGGCCACACGGCTTGAGCTTGGACGTGCTCCTGCATCAGTCGGACAGCTACAGGGGAAATGTCGGCACACGTGACTCTAACAGGCAGAGGAGAGTGTCTGTAAATAGAGGGCCCTAGTGCAGATGTGCCACAGCCCATATCCAGAACTTGGAGCACAGCATCTGGATGGGACATAGTCTGTAGGAGGGGCATGATCATGTCTCGGACGGCATTGAAACCAAAGAACCAGTCAAAGTTTTCAAAAGTGGGTGTCCTGCTACTGTTCTCAGTGTAGAAGCGGTCCCAGGTTGCTTTCTTATCCATGTTTTCAATCAGTTCAGCTGGGCAGAAACACAGAGAGATGGAACAGAAGGAGTAGTGAGTCTTAGTAGTAAAACTCAGACACAGCTTGCCATATATGGAGGGACTTCACATGGACAGATTTTTAATTATAATGTGTTCTTGTTAATGAGAAAATCTTTACGTAACGATTTAAGACCTTTTCTAATTTGTAGCTGCCGGGGCTGAGCAATTTGGGAAAAATGTCTCGTTATGATTTTTTTTTTTTTGACAAAGATTGCAACTGACAATACAATTTGATGTAAAGTTTCAGTTTCAGCTCTGATTAAAAACACATGACGGATTATTACCACATGAGACACCATCAGTATATTATTTGTGTTATATTCTAATGCAAAGATTAGAACTGCTTCCAACATTTTTCAAACGGCATAGAAGATAGAACAATTATCTCAAAAGCTGAGACAGTTGTGGGTTAAATACAGTAACAATAATAATAAAAAATAAATTAATTCTAACGGTAATCTGACCTCTTTTTAAAGATTCTCAGACACTGAAACAGATACGTCATTTATAGCTCAGCACATCCTGCAATTATGCTTAACAAAGTAACATTAATTATTAATAAATGAACCCTCAGTTAGTCCAGCTGCATAAAATACATCCTGACTTGTAGCCTTTGCATAATCAATACCAAATCAATCATTTAAATGGGAGTTTAAGTTCATGAGACAAAGCAATCCAAACTCATTTGCCAGTTTATTAGGCACAACTAGCTCAAGCTAAAGCATTCTTTCAATATCTTAATTAATATTTATGAATATACTGTAAACTTTTTGATTTAGATGGTTTAGTGTGGATTCAACAGTATGGATGCTGCAGTTTATGGTGCTGTTTAATTGTACTGTGTTATACTGACAGGTGTTTCTATCCCGTATTTACATCAGTAACACTATGCTAATAACACAAACAGCTCTGTAAAGGACAAACTGGATCTTTGACGTGACTATAAAGCTGAATCTTTCTACAAAGTTTACCATTGCTGCCTTGCAATGACTCCTACCTCCCCACCAAGCTAACTATTAGCTTTAGCTTAGTGTAAACACAGTCTATGGGTTCAATTAATAAACTGGCAACCATAAGTACTATGAAGTGCTGCTTCGTGGTGTCTAGAATAAAACTCTGGAATGAATGTTTAGTTCGTTGTATCAGTGAAGACTACGGTGTAAGAACCTGCACTCAAACTTGCGCAGAATTACAAAGCGAAACTGAATCAGTTCATCAAGTTGTATCTCTCCCATTTAAGCAAGTTAGCTTAGCTAGCTTAGCTAGTAGCACTACAATGTGCAACGCCGTAACATTTTAATAAACAGAGACTTGTTAAATTAGACAATAACAAAGTGTGAACATACTTGTGAGAGAAGAATGATGCCGCACACAAGCGGCAAATATTCTCCTGCCTGACCAAGTCAGTGACTTTGAAAACGGAGACATCTTGGCTTGTCGTCCCTCTTGCCCAACCACAGACCTCTCACTCTGATGGTATTTCTGGGTACCAAAAACGACGTCAATGCGCCTGCGTAAATGTTACCGAGACATCATCTGTCGTTGTGGAGGATCTTTGATCAGTCCATGCAGCAATGACGCAACCGTGTGAGTGCAAGTGTAAACAAAGTGCATGCGGCACCAGAGACAACCTACAATACATTCATTTAATTCTCCTTCCAGAGAATTAAATACTTTGACTCCAAATGGATTAAACCCAACTCGTAAACAGCCACTTAAATAATAATGAGAATAATGTAATAAAGAATTTATTGATGTTGGATGGGACTCAACTAACAGGACTAATAGAAGGTCTGAACTGAAAATATAAATGAGAAGGGCCTGGCTTTCAATTTATAGGCTAAATATTGTATTTCAGACTATGCTGCAGAATTTTTGCAAAAATAAATATGGCAGAATATTAACAATTAAAGCTATTTAACAATCAAATTTGCAGTCATCTACAGTTAAAGGTGTAATTGCAATTTTCCATAATTTCTTTATGAATTTTTTAAAAATTGTCTGACCCTGAAAAAGGGCTGCAAGGTGGCGCAGTTGGTAGCACTGTTGCCTCACAGCAAGAAGGTCGCCGGTTGAAGTCCTGGTGCACCAGCGTGGAGTTTGCATGTTCTCCCCAGAGTGGGTTCTCTCCGGGTTCTCCAGCTTCCTCCCACAAGTCCATGTTGAGGTTAATTGGTGATTCTAAATTGTCCGTAGATGTGAATGTGAGTGTGCTTGGTTGTCTGTCTCTAAGTGTAGCCCTGTGATAGACTGGTGACCTGTCCAGGGTGTCCTCTGCCTTCGTCCTAAGTCAGCTGGGATACGACCCTAGTGAGGATTAAGCGGTGTGTAGATAGCGGATGGATGGATAGCTGATCCTGAAAAAAAAACTACACAAAATAAGATGTAAATCGCTTTAATAAAACTCAATGAAACGCAGTGTAACAAAGGAAAAGAATCAAACATAAAGCAAGTAGATAACATTTACAACCACAAAAGAAAAAAAAAACCTGTACAACTCTAAATGGCTGGAGTCACTTCTATTTTTCCAAAGATTTTTTTTTATTTAACCATTTTGTGATGACTGGGAGTAAACTTGGGGGAGTCGGGGGTAGAGGGGGGTAAAGGAGGCATGTAATGTGATTTCATCTATTTTTTTCTTTTTTCAAATACATGAGTGTAGTTTCATACACAGATGTACGCTTCATCAACGTGGCTGCTGAAGTTATTTTTGAATGCACTGCTGTGAGGCACAGCAGGAGGAGGATGAGGTGGGCTGTGGCCAGGAGTGCTATTTGTACAAGATGTCGTAATGGCCCGGTCTATAGAGGAGGAAGATGCGTGGGTCGCCGCCTTCAGGGAACACGTGGTGATTGACTGTTCCTCCCTCTCCTCTATCCATGTACTCCACCAGGATGGATACGTTCAGGGCCTGGGCTAAGGCGATGATGTGAATGTGGTCACTTTCTTTAGACATTGGCTCTACCTCCTTAAACGAGAAAAAGAAAAGAATGCACATTAGGAGTTTTGTTCTGATATAAAACAAACTAATCACGCAATTTTATGTTTCTGTTGTTAATCAAGAGTGACTGTACACTCTTTTTAAACAGCACTTTCTACATAGGGGTGGGTGATCATATGACGATCTTTTAAGGTAGAATCATCATCATAATGACAACTCTCCCCACAGATTTAGTTGGGCTTGTGGTCACAAGATAGGTTGTGCTTACGGTTGCCTGGATACAGCAGCTGTCAATTCAACCTGATTCTATGATGAAAGTTCTGACCATAGAACATTTTGTCTCTGACACTTTGACTTTGAAAGCTGTTGCTGCTAACCAACTTGCCCTACCTTGTCCTGCCTCACGTTTCACTATTTGCAGACTGGCCAGGTCACTGTAGTAGCAGTCCTCAATGTCATTTAGCCGGCTCTGCGTAAACCTAATCCAGCAGGTGGACTCAAGTCCACAGACTTGGACTGCAGCTGGCAAAGGTAGACAGCTGACTCATTACAGGAAAACTGGAAAGCATCCTTGTTCTGTTCTGCAGCACTTGTGGGCTTGATGTAGCAGCACATGAACCAGTTCCCCACCTGCTGCAGGTACTGGTTTGAGTTCCAGCTCAGAGTGGAGAGCAAAACAAGAACCTGACAGGTTTTTTTCCCATGAAAATTATCCCCTCCTGCCTTAAATCGTCTAAATCCGTGTTTTTGAGACTAACAACCGGTACATTGCAGTTTCAATTTGGAATACTCAGCCATGGAGCCGCTTGCTTATTTCACTCATTATATGGCCTACAGTATATAAATAAACACCACATGCAAATGTTAACAAGGTAGGAAACTTGATTTTAACCAGAGGGGATCTATAATGGCATTGATCTGTACCTAGGAAAAGTAGATCTTAAATTAAGATCACCCACGCCTACCATTATGCAATATTTCCAGATGTGAGTAAATGCCCTAAAATCCTAACTCTGTCTGGTTCAGTGACAATTTCAAAAATGGTGGCCAATTTTTTTTTTAAACAATAAAACTTTCCCACAGACCGTCTTCAGAGTTAAACAACGATGACACCCAAATTTGACTTTGACAAATTACTTAAACCCACCTGCTGACAGAACTCCTTGACAGAGCGTCCTCCCTCTATGAAATGCTGAAAGAAGACATTCTCACGCTGCAAATAGCCTGAGGTGAGCAGCCGCAGGTACACAACCACGTAGTCTGACATGTTCTGGTCGTTGAAGGAGTTCAGTAGCTCCTGCAGGCTCGGCTGCTTCTCACATAGTTCGATCAGGTCCATGAACTAGGTGGGGAAAGATTATTTACATAGAAAGACTACTTTATATGCTGATCAATACACTAATCAATAATGCTAAAATTATTTACTGCTGCAGAAATTAAAGAAAAATATCTGCATGCAGTTTTGATGGGAAGCTCACAGTATTGTGGAAGTCTTCAATGGTGAACTCAGTGAAGCCTTCGTTAACCAGGTCCAGTTTACTTTTAGCTGCAACTGCTTTGAACCTGAAAACACAAAAACATGTGTTCAATAAACCTGTGAATATTAGTTTAATATGTTGTAAAAATATGGAAAAACTATGCATTCACATGACAGGCAGATAAAGAAACACTGCACCCACTTTTTTGTACCACAACCAACAACAACAGAACACCTAAACGTATACATTGACCAGTTACTGTTTATTTAGATCTCAATAAATCAGTCAAACCTGCCTCGAGTGCAGCCATGAGGAGGCAACACTGTGCCAAAACACACTTAACAGTCCATGATGACTACAGTGTGAATCTCAGTCTAGACACCAACAGCCAACACAACACAAACAGTAGCAATTATGGCACTCACTTCTGAAGTTCTTTGCTGTCATCTAGCAGGGACTCAAGATGTGCAAAACCGAAGGCTCTGTAGAAACAGTTTCCATCTGGCCGCGTCTTCCGAATGTACGAGTATTTTTTGTATAGGTCCTGCGGCAAAACAAAAAAAAAAACAAATTGTACCGCACAGTGAAACCGAATGCAAAAGCTGTATTCAAAAATATCAGCAACAGCCGAGCTTTGGATAAAAATGACGCCTCCAGCTGAGGCAGAATTGCGCCCTGATGTGGGTGCAGTAACCTGAGAGCAGGTGGTGTGGTTGGACTGACCTTGATCTTGAGCTGATAAACTGTGTCATCTTCAGCGTACTCTCTCTGCAGCACTGACAGGTCCTGTCTGTCCGACACTAAAGGGTTACTGTTGGCTATCTGCACACCCACACAAAAAATTAAAATTAGTACATGCACTGTTAGCAAACTAACTCGGAGTGACTTTGCCCTGACCAGTCGCTGGCTGCACTTGCGTTTATACATTATAATACACGAACGTTGCCCTGCAATGTTATATTTACTCTATTTGCTTTTATAAAATAATGAATTCTCTAAATAGCTTATACAGCTGTGCAGACAAGTTTTATAATACAGGTCAATATTACTGGATAAGGAAGAGCTACAAAAGCCTGTACACAGGAGTTTCTATTTTTCTATAAGGAGTTTTTTTTCCCCCCTAAAAACCATCTTATTCTGTGTTCAGGGTGCATATGAAGTTCTCTGCTGTGTCCACACATTAACTGAGATTTCTGGAGCTTTAACTGTCGAACAAATCTGGAAACTTGTTGATGCTGCTGCTCAGAAATAGAATAATGACATCTTTGTTTAGGTTAACTGTCAAGATTACATCTGAGCTTGCTGATGTCATTTTCTCACCTCCTGCTGAATCCTGTCCTGTTGAGCAATTATGGCCTCGTCATATGCGAGGCAGTTCACTCCTGTAAGAGAAATGTAATACATTTATTAGGCTTCAGGAGCACATATGTAAATGGTGGACTGATAAGACTATAATGAAAGCAGTGACAGCTTGTACATGGCCTGTGATGGATAACTTCAGATAAATCATTTGATGAAATATGTGGATTTAGGATTCAGATAATTGAATTATACCAAAATGAGAATGCAAGTGTAAGCAAAACAAAACCTGCTTTGCAACCTGAGAAACAATCGCTGCTGTGACTCCCTGCATACATTTCATTTTGTATATCAGTGCTTGTGCAGGTGTGTACTGGCAAATGACTCCAAACCAAAACAAATACAGCTGCAAATAGGACCAAACAATGAATCTATACCACATTGGAATTGCAGTTTCAAACAATGTATTTAGCAAATCACAAACACTGTAATGTATGTTATACAGTGCATCTGGCGTAGGATTTAAACTGTCATGTCAATGGATTTATAAATCCATGCGATCCTCTATGTACGGAGGCACACACACACACCAGATGTTTGGCTTCTGACGGTGTTCCATGTGGTAAATCACATTTTAAATCTATTACACAGTGAACATTAAAGTGAAATAGAAATATATATCACACACATCTACCCACAGCATCCAGTCCTAATTGCAACGAACACTTTCAGCACTAATAAGCCATGATTTAAGGGAAATTATTTGGCTCATGATGCTTCTCTTTGAGATGTTTAGTTGTTTGTTGGGACACAAAAACGCTGTTGCAAGAGTACTTTGCCTGCACAAGCAAATCTGACTGTGTTGTTACCAAGTGGCTGAACAATCTATATCAAAAAAAAGATGCAGCTCCCGCAGAAATCGCTTCCCTGGTGGCACAGCAGGTGAGTGCTCTCAGTTTATTAAAGCAACTGAATCCTGTCACTGGGGTTTTTTGAGTTACTCGTGCTGATGTTGTCCATCAGATCCGTGATGTGAGTTCATATTTATCTGCACTCTCTGAATTATTAAAACAGCTGCACTCACGTAAACAAGACAAGAGTCAAATGGGAAAACGAATGCAAATATTGACAACAAAGCGTTATCGAAGGCACATTTTCTCTTCCCGTTTTTTTCAACATCTGCCGTCACCACGAGTAACCACAGACGCCCGTAGTCAGCCGTTAACATGAAAACAAGTTAATCCACAACACCGGCTAACGTCAGTCAGCTAAACTTGGCTAGCTCGACCTGTGCGAAAACACAACAATTTCTAGCCACGACGAAAAACGTCCTTTTAAAAACCAAACAGAGGGTGTCCTGCCTTAAATATCTACCACACACTTTTAATATTTCCTCAAGTCAAAAACTCTGGCACTGTCACTCTGCGTTGCCTTGTCAATAACGAAACAAGCGTATTTTTTTCTTTGTGTAGCAATGGTAGCTAGCTAACGTTAGCCAAGCAGCTCTGGCCTCTGTCTCCCCCCCCACCACATCGCTGCATGTCAGCCACCTCTACCGCGGACAGGGGCAGCGGCTAAAACGCCTTTAGGACACTCGTGTGGATATAAGCTTTGTTTGCATGAGAAATGGCAGCGCTGGTCGTTGGGTATTTCGTGGTGGAACTGTTTCTCTCACCCTCCATCTCTCCCTGTGATGATTCCTGCTGCTCCTCCGCCATCTTAGCTGTCGAGATCTGTTTCCTCCTTCTGCATGACCTCATTCGTTACACACTTCCGAGCGGAGGCAAGCGGTGAGAGTTTTTTATTTTTTATTTTTTTTAATTAGTATTTATTATTATTTTTAATTTATTAATTTATGCAACTCTGGAGAAACTTTTCCATGTCAAGGAAAAAACAAGGTCGGAGTATTATGCAAGCTAAACTGGTGAGGTCATGTGTTCAAGGCACCCAAAGGCCCTGACCTTTACACACCTGTTGGAAGGTTGGTGGATATTACATCAATTTTAAAGATGGTAAAAATTGATGAACTAAAATTCTAAAGGGGCCATGAGTTGTCCCCTGCAGTATTAACCGTACATCCAGTCAACGGCTTGCTTTAAAATCATACAGTGTTACGTATGTGTAATTATACCAGCAGAAGTGAGTACACCCCAATAACACTTAAATGTCAAATGATTCAAAGTTGATCTCAATAATTACATGCCCCGAAAGCAGAAGCTTACCGCGGCAAAAGCGCACGCACCTGCAATTACTGTTAGAAAACCTGTGATCACTGAAACTAAACTGGCTACCCCTGTGATTCTCAATTAGCCTGACTGAGTGGTCATAAAATGAAGTGGCAACACCAGAACTTTCTCAGTTTTCTTGGACATGTGCCCTACATCATGGCGCCACATGGAAAAGGATTGTCAGAGGAACTGAAAAATCTGAATGTGTGACTTCACAAAGATGGAAAAGGATACAGGAAGATCAATGGCTAAATAAAAATCGGTCAAAACATAGCTGCAGCAGTAATCAGGAGGAAAGGTACCACTAATCAGAGCCACAGTGGTCATCCTCCTAAAAGGATGCCATGGGCTATGTGTTGTTTGCACAACCTATTTCTGAAAAAGAGATGGGCTTGGACTTGACAGTGAACTTGGCAATGAAAATCTGAGGTTGTGTACCAGCTCAGACAGTGAGCTCTTACCCATAAAAACAGTCTTGCTTGCTGATCAGAACAAAGCTACAAGATAAAACTTTACAAAACAACATGAAAAGGATCCCGATGAATGTTTTGAGCATATTCAAATCAGATTGAGCCCAGCAGCCTGACTCCCAACAGTAAAGCATGGAGGTGGGAGTGTGATGACATGAGGCTGCATGAGAGTTTTTGGGGACATGGCATTTGCAGATGGGACCATGAGTGATTATGAGAGCTATACCAAAATACTTTCTGACAAGATGACTCCCACTCTCCAGAAACTTAGCAGAAATATTTGTGCACAATAAATCCAAAGCCAAAAGCATACAAGAGCACAAGAGTTTTCCTAAAGAAGGAAACAATGAAAGGTATGACCTGGCAAAGTTTGATGCCTGACTTTAATCCAGTTGAACGCCTTTGGGGTGTTTTTAATAGAACGGTTGAGCAGCACAATCCCTCCAGCAGAGAGCAGCAAAAAAAAATAAAAAAAACAAGTTTCTGAAGAATGACGAAACATCTCTTTAGAAATTTGTGCAACACTGACCAGAGAGGGACTTTTACACATGAAGGTCAGTCTATCTGGAACAGTTCAAGAGCGTTTTTCTCAAGTGCAGCCACAAAAACCATCAAGCGTTGACATGAAACTGGCTCTTATGAGGACCGCCCCTCGGAAAATAAGGCCAAGAGTTCCCTCTGCTGCAGAGAATAAGTTAATTAGCCTCAGAAATCTGCAATTAAGGGCACCTCAGATTACAGCCCACATCTATTCTTTTTAGAGTTCAAGTAGCAGCCAGATCCCACCTGTTCAAAGGCATGATTCAGGCCTTCATGAACACTTCTGAGACCAGTAAGAAGGAATCTGCTTCATGAAACAGAGTCAGAGAATGGATGGTCTCCAGGCTATGTGCTGTATGTGAAATGCATCCAACAAGTGTCAAGCGTATGTGGGAACTCCTTGGAGACAGTTCATTGACAACCTCATGAAGTTGGTCCAATGCCAAGGTTGTACAAAGCTGTTCGAGCGGTGACTTCTTTGATGAATCTAAATTTTAAAACCCATTTTGTCCTCTTTAATTAATGTGTTGTTTCATTAGCTTGATGTTTGTTCTGCAATGTAAAAATAAAGGAAAAACAATCGACTAAATTGGCGTTCCAAACTTTTGACTGGCACTGTATCATCTGTTTGAAAAACCATGCACATTTATTTCCACCCATCCACACAAGCTGACACCCATACAAAGCCCTTTACGATAATGAAAATCCAGACACATGATCGGGAAGATCATCAAAAATCACAGTGGAACGTCGAGTCTCTCATTGTTCAGCAGTGTGGCAGTTTTTGTAGGCTCGTCCAGGTCCCTGCACTTTCCAGCAGCACACATCAGGGGGCACTGTCTACAACGAATGCAGCCTACATTCAAACATAATGCCATTAATCTGCTCTTATATACAGTCTGTGGCTGGGTGATGCCAGATTAAACTGTCCCGGCATACTTTCAACCCAACATTTCTGACTCAGGTGGCATTTGACAGAAAAAAATATATTTACAGCAGGTAAGATAAATCCAAAAAAACACCAATACAGTGTAATAGTATGTATAAAGAACAAAATAATACTTCATATTTGCCAAAAAAAAAAAAAAAAAAAGCGAAACAGTTTTTTTATATTTTCCCCCTTTGGCACATTGCTCCCCATGTCAGGGCTGTAACAGAACCCAGCAATACTCAGAACATATATAAACAATACAATAAAAAAATAACAATAAAACCAACAGTCCACAAATAAACAATACATGCATGGTTTAGCCACAAAGGTTCATCCTCTTGGAAAGTCATCGTCTTGTTTCAGATGCTGAAAAACTCCAGCAAGTACAGTAAACTTCCCAAAATGTCGATACTTTTTTGTCGTCTCTATGGTCTCCAGTGCAAGAATCCAGATGTATTTTTAGTATGTTTGCATTGTGTATTTGTTGTTTTGCATGCCCCATTCTATTGAGCCTTTTACACCATTTTTGTTTGCTTTCTGACTAGTTTAAGATCTGGCCAAGGGAAGACAAGTTTTAAAAAAAAGAGCAATATGGCTAATACTGGCACATGTACAGTTTTGCTGCATCATGTGCGTTGTCCCTGAAACATATAAACAAACACATTTACAGAAGAGGTCAAATCGAGCAATACCATAGAAAAAATGAGTATTATACAAACATATGGAAGCTTTTCCAGCTTTCTCTGTGTACGTACATAGAGATACTCAATACGTATGCACTCCACTTTATCCAGTGAGTCTATGCCTGTTTTATATGTAAACTGTCAATATTTCTCATGTATGTTGGAGATGGGTGTCTTGATTGTGAAGCTACTATATACCTATGTGTGTACATGTAGGCAAGTGTGGCTGTCAGGTGAAGTGAGGAAATTGAGACATGTGAGAACTAGTCAGTATATGTAGGATATTGAATTGAAGATTTGCATTTTTTTGTTGTTTTTTTTAACAAATACACACATCTTGTTTACGACATAATAATGGTTTCACTGTACGAAGTTTGGATCGGATCCAAACTGTCTCAATTTGGAAAGACAAAAGGACTGAAAGACAATATGGAGGTATGCACGTTGCAGGTGTGGCCATAGACGAGCAAGCCAGCGATTTGGATCAGATCCCAAACTGGGTTGTGTTAGGAAACTTGACATGGGCAGAGTTACTCCTACACCTAACATCACTAAAACATCACCCACAGCACAGGGGTGTTGCAACTTGCTGTTTTCATTCACCCACTTTCTCACTGTTGTGTTTACTCCTCTAGCGTTTCCTGATTTTGTACTGTACATGTTCTCGAGTGCTTTTGAAATCCCCTGACAAAGACTATTCAGCTACTTTCAGCTGTTAGCCACAGCTGGGTAGAGCAACAGCTACATTCCAAAAAGCAAAGAAAGGAATATTGTCTGATGTTAAATGCCATCTGAGCAGTTCTGGACAAAACTGCAATATTGTCTTTTGTAATGTGGGGGAACACAAAACATACTGTTGATCCCCCCCAAACAGCATGCTGAAATCAGAACTGTCCAACAGATGCTGTGGAGCACATCGGTATACACAAAGCTTTGCTCTGTTGTAGTCAATGTAAAAGATGCAGCATTGAAGTCAAGGTGCAGAAATTTCATTCTTGACCACAAACTGATTTTCGGGGCTTGTGTCCACATGTGAGCCACCTCCAAAGCCAGAGCTGACCAGTTTTATAGTTTCTGTGTGGGACTTTCCTGCCAGCAGCTAAACTATCTGGGCCTTGTGGATGAGGGAGGCGTGAGGGTTGACCAGAGGGGGGGTTTTCCGGATGAAGGGTCTCACTGTGCCATTAGTCTGTTGGTAGCGTGTGCTGTGAGCCTCAGACATCTGAGAGCTGTTGGTCTCGCTGTCCTGGTCATCGGGATGCTCTTGACTGGCCGGACCGCCCAAACCCTCGTCCACTTCGTCCTCGTCATCCGTAACCGGCGGGTAGGTGCAGCTGACAGGAGGGTGCTGGTGAGTCTTGGCGACACTTCCTGGTCGTGAACCCCCATCTGAGGGTATAATGGTGCTGCCATTCAGCTGTCTTACAATCTCAGTGGACTGCACCATAGGGAAGGGTGATGGCGTGAGAGGAGGGTGGAAGTGAGTGTCCTGCTGCTAAGAAGAAGAGCAGACACACTTATAATTGCATCATCATCATCAGGTAAGTATGCAGAGTTTAAGCTGGGTTAAAAGCATTCCACGATTAAGGAAATCAAGCCTTGACATGCCCACAAACACACAATCACACTTACCAACGATATACTGCTGTTTCTCACATATGTCTCCACTCTGAGTCGGTTCTCCTCCTCTCTATCCAGAAGCCTCTCTCTGCCTCTCCGGGAGTTGTTGTACAGGACTGGTCTGCCCAGGTAGTCATACGCCCCTGATACACCACCTCCTCCACGCCCACCTGAGATAGTTGATCGGCTGTCACGGCAGTGAGTCTGCTCCTGCCGGCACGGATCAAAGACACTGATTAGTATCAGATAAACTGATTTCCCATTTCCTTCTTTTGCACAGTTAATTTAAAATGAGCTTCATGATCGAGCACCAGTTCTTTAAAGCAGGCTAAAGTGACAATGTTTACTTACAGAAATGACTACAACCCTGTGCATCACCACATGAATGTCTAATGATTCAAAAAGGTATCGTTTGTAGTAAATGCATTACTTCCAAACTAACTGTTTTACTGTAGAAACTCATTGCAACATAAGTCAATCAACCTTTTATTACTGATTGACAACAGAATCAATTCTCTTTGGCATGAAGGATACCTATATTGCACAAATTTCTGGAAAGATGTTCTGTCATTCGTCAGAGGATATTCTCTGAGTTCACTACTTGAAAGGCTGTGTTACTCAATCTTTCCTCTCAAATTTTTCTTTAGAAACTCTTGTGTGATTTTGGCAGTGTGCTTTTGATTGTTATCATACCGGAATATTCCCTATTTGCCAAGCTTCATCAGAATGGAAGTCACCTTGTTAGCCAATATTTTTGATATACATCCACAGGCGTTCATCTGGCCATCTGTAAATCTATAAATTTCATCTCATTGACACCTTTTGGACTCGTGATCACATTCCTACCTTTGTGCTTCACTGTCAGGACTTATGCATTCAACAGTGAGAGACCTGACCAGATTCACTTCAAACATGTTACACCCCATCCAAGCCAAACAAATTTATCTTGGTGTCATCTAACAAAAGGATATCCTCCCAATATTTAATCTTGCAGTTTTGTTTCCATAGAACACGTAAAGGTTTTTTTCTTTGGCACCGCCCATGAGGGTTGTGGTTATGCACTCCTCACACTGTCAAGGTGTAACAGAAACTCAAATTTGTTTACCATGATAGTGCACTGTCCACATTGTCATTTTTAGAAAGATGAACATACCAACCATGCTTAGTGGTACTGTGCCCCATCTCTGTTTCAACTGATTTTTAGTTGGTCTTCCTTCCTTTACCATCTTTGATAAGCCTACTTAATTTTTCTTGCAATTCCTTTTTTTCATGTCCAGCCTTAACACAGACATGCAGGCTGACACAACACATAGGTCCAAAACTGAGAAAGTTCTGGTGTTTCAGGTCAGTTTTATAACCATGTTCATGCAATAAGGCTGTTTGAAAATCACAGGTGTCGTCAGTTTTGTTTCAGTGATTACAGGTTTTCAAACTTGTGTGCCAGTTGTCAATCAGTTTCTACTTTCGGGCCTGTATTTACAATATTTTAGAGTATTTGATTTTGATTACAAATGATGATCAAACTGCAAATAATGCATTTACTGAGAGGTGCCACAACTTTGAATCTTTTCAAACTGAAGTGATTTCGTGCAGGGGTGTACTCACTTCTATACCGTACAATGTCAATTAACTTGTTTTAAAGACGTTTTCATTTTGGGAAATATGCGTACATGCTTTGTTGAGGACTGAAGAGAAGATTAGAGACCAGAGAGAGGAATAAGAGAGAAGAAGCTGAGCGTTGCAAGCAAAAAGGGAGGATATCTCAAAAGTCTTCATGCAATACAATGTGTTGTTAATATCTGAGATGCACTACATTAAAATTTGAAATGTTGAATCTCAGAACTTAGCCGTCTGACATCTGGATAGTAAAGCCTCAGTCCCAGGCCCTGGCCCTGCATGCAGATTTACATAGATACGTAGACTGACCCCGAGGGAAGACAGGCTGGTCCTCAGGGTTCCCTCCACCCTTAGAGGGATGTTTTCTTCCGTCTGCAATTTAAATAAAACACAGGTCAGGATCAGCTGTGCAAAAATTCCAAACCCTCAAAAATTCACTCACTTCTTCCAAAACAAGAAAAAGTATGTGAAGCAATAATTGATGATAAATATAGAGCACAGTATTAAGATTTTATTTGAGCAAAATTTGTAAAATTTCAATTAAATTTTGCATGAAGGATTGCATAAAGCATATGGGAGCATCATTCTACTGATTTTGGTGTCAAGACTGACAGCCTGATTCAGGTTGTGTCGACATAAGAAAACAAAAGATGTGTGTCGGGTGCAAAAAGAATAATTCAGTAACTGTACCGTTCCTCTGGCATCTGTGCTCATAGAGTTCACTCTCCGGAAAGATGCTTGCCTGGAGAGAGTGCTGATTTCCTCCCTGTGAGAAACAAGACAAGAAATTAGAAAATGACTTCAATGATTAAAGAACTGTTCTAGTGTGTGTTAATTTTGGGGCAGTTTAAGTTTTAATGTAATTCACATTGTGTATTTTTTATTTAATTTTTCACCCATATTTGTTATTTTGCGCAGCCATCTACGCTTCATGCTCCTCTAATTCTACTTAACACGCTCTGTGTTGTAAGCGCCGCTTGTAATATGCTTAATAGCCCCGATCCGCTCCGATCTTCTGTATTCTTTTTGGCTCAATCTGCCCCGCGGAGATTATTAATGGTTAATCTCATCTTATCTCATCTTAATTAAACATGGTGTTATCCCCGTACTTCTTCTGAGACAGCTCCCTCTGCAGTTTCTTGTTCTTGCGCTTGTGGTGGCACGTGACGCCGATGATGATGGCGAGCATCAGGATCAGCAGCCCACCAGCCACACCCCCCACGATGATCATCAGCATGTTCTCCAGTCCTTTCCCGTCGTCGCGCGGCCCTGCGAAGAGTCGGTCAGGGAGCATTAGATGGAAATAAACACAGATTCTCACAGTGTACATGAATATGACAAGTCTCAGTCTGGTGCGTTGACAGTGTTGTCATTTACCTGTCACGAGAATCTCCACCTCTGCCTTCCCTACTCCCACTTCATTCGTCGCCACACATTGGTAGGTGCCACCGTCTGACGAGTTTAGTGGTCGCCTGAAAATCAGCGTTCCGTTGGGGTGGGGGATGGCATCTTTCGGCATCTCTCCTTCCATTCTGCAGGCAGAGCAGGATAAAGACACATTAGAGTGCATTCAGCTCAACACGTGGACTTGTTCAGCGGATTAAGTCATGCGCATTTTTTCAGAGTTGGTCAACATCTTCAGATGTTTTTGTGCTGTATTTCAAAGAGTAAGGGAGTGGCTAATGATGGCATTCAAATGACATGCAATCCTAAAAGACCCTTTCCCCTCCCTTTGAAAACATTTTAAGCACCCTCTCTTTGGCTAAACGGGGAAAAAATGATCCCCATAACCTTTTTCATTTCAGCTCTTAGGAATTTCTGTCCAGTCCCTGATGACGCTGAGGTTTCTGTAGGTGGTGCTGGTGATGCTAATGGGTGGCCATTGCTGCTCAAACATGAAAAGCATCACCCGTTGCCTTTTTAAACATGATGTGTTCAGAAGAAAAAATCTCAATTTGTCCTTTTAAAATGTGTGTAATCGGTATAAGTTTTTAAATTCTACTATCTTCAGTTATTGTTTGCTGCAGTTCCTGGTTCTGTGACTCAAGGAAAATGTTTCAGCATCACTGTCAAGGGTGTTGCCTAAGTGTTGTTGTTTTGAGCATATTTGACTTAATCCCTTTGCTCAGAACTTAATGTCAGCCCGTGAACAACCCACGTTTCGCCAGAATACATGACTATGTCCATTTTCACAGCAGCATGCTGTTGAGCTTCTATTATTGAGCAGACTGCATGCTTATTACAATAGGCGCCTATCACCAGCAGGGAAAGAGGAACTGCTACTTCACCACGATAACATCTTACACAAATCCACACATTCTGCTTCCTCTTCCTCCGCTCGGCACCACTTAGCTCACAACAACGCCTCTGCCTACCTGGTCCCACTAGTTCACGTCTCTCCCTACTGCTCATCCCTTTCCCTTTTACTTCTCACCCCCCTCTTCCTCCCTCCTTCGTGTGAAACTATCTCATCTGTCTGCTTTCGGCACAAGCCGCAACATGACACTGTGACACCAGCTATTACTTCACCTGCTGCCATTTACTGACAAAGCCAACAGGTTCGCCCGCTGCTCTGCCACATTTGTGTTTGTGTGTGTCCATGTGAAATGTGTGCTTGAGCAAGGAGAGGCTGAATGTCGCCACTAGATTTTGACTTGGTTATCTGTGAGCGTGTTTACACATCCTCATTCATGAGTGTGTACACTTGTACGCTTGGCGTGTGTCTGGTAAGCCTCGCTCACAAAAACTACTTTCCCAAGGTGTGTTTCTGTGACTAATGACAAGTAATCCGTACATCATCACTTGGCAAAAACAAGTCAAACGAAACGAAACCTCCCAAAACATTTCCTTTTTTCAAACTTTAGATGCTCATATACCCTCCCTGTGCGTATTTCTCTCTTGGCAGCCCAACTGTCACCTCTCATAACTCAGTGGAAGCCATAATCTTCCAGCTGCTTTTCGTGGCTTACATTTTTTCTTGCCGAACGCTACACCACACCCCGAGAACATATTAATGCATCAGTGGAAATGGCTGAAAAATGACACTGTGTGACTCAAGTAAAAAAAAAACATCAGGCATCTGAGTCAAACCCTGGTTTAGGGTTTAAAGCTGGGAAGTAATGTCCCAATTTTTAAATGACACACGTAGCATTTGAATCTGTCAGTTTCCACTGAGGCAGCAGAATGGGGAGGTGGCAATGCCAGGGCTTGTTTGGTTTAGTCATGTGGAAAGAGTGGAGATCCTCCCCTGCCACACTGGTTATTCAGCGTACTCAGTGTATCTGTGATAAGTAAGCACTAAAAAGTAATAAATACTCCATACTTTGTTCATAAAATCCAGAATGTAGGACTCACTTAAGTACTTGAAATACAGTTGATAGACTTATTAAAGGTGCACTCATGGTGTTTCTTGTGAACATCCTAATATCTTAACATATGTCATTATTTTTCCTGGTCAAACATAAGTCTATTTTTGAGAATATTTGAAATGTTTTCTACAATTCTGTTTGAATAAGTCAATCTATGGCAGCAAACTGTCAACACAGTCGTATTGCACTGCTCCACATGTGGCTTTAACTTCAGCTCCAATCGCTTAAATAACCAGTATTGAAGCAGTTTCTAGTCATATTTTATTATTTAAAAAAGACATCAAAAATAGTTAATGCTTCATAAATTCAGCCACTTGCACATAAGTATGAAAAAGACTCATAATACATATACGCCAGAGAAACATGCTAGTAATTAGACTTGCTGCTAATCTGATCGTACATGTATGTTGTTCTTATTGTCCACTAATTACATGAGAAAACCAAAAATGAATGATCATACTAAGTGTCCTTTATATATGAGGGACAAAACAACCACAAGCACATGAGTGGATTAAAACGAAGCCATGTATGTTAAACTTGAACAGGTTTCTGGAAGCAGAGGAAGGGGTCGACAACACCACTTATCAGCTACTTACGATGCTGTCCTGAGATTGCTCCCCAGGCAGTTTCACCACCATTTAAACTTTGAGTCACCCCCGACTTGGTAGTTTCACAATAATTCACACCTCAGTTCATGTGAGTCTTCATGTGAGTGTAATTGGCGAATGTCCAAATAACTACCCAGTCTGAGAGTGATGATATGTCTAGAACTCCATATCGATCAGGTAGAACTGACTCTTGGATGAGAGACGAAATGTCTTCAGGAACCAAAGAGTCCAGTTGCCCCCCCACCCTACTGAAGCTGACGAAGAAGCATTACATGTGTATCCAAAGCCTGGTACATGTTCAAGAAAGTTCATGACCTTTTAAAATTGTAATTGTCATCCAAATTACTTCAGTACTTGGCAACACTTCATATAGATCACTTAAGATAAGACTGATGGTGTGTGTGATGATGCAATATTGCATCAAATGCTACTTTCAGCTACAATCTTCCTAGTTCTACTTGGGATGCTCGTCATTAATGTAACATACCCGTGAGAAAAAAGGTTTAGAAATATATAAAATTATTAGGTGATGCACTTTTTCCAAACATCAATATGACTCTTTATTAGTATGACTCTCTGCTATAGACTCATTGTTGTCCAAAACACTGCCAAAAACAAACTAATGGGTGATGCTTTTGCACTCAGAGACATGTTTCTCTCTTACCGTGAACACACATTTTTTGAGTCTGAGTCAATCTGACATACACTGTCCAAATGTGAGCTAATCTGCAGCTGAAAATGGTCTGCAAAAAATACACCGTTTATTCTAGTTTGAGCGACATTTGCTAAAAACTACTCTGCCTTTGGCTTCTACTGAGGGCTTTACATCACAACTTCACCTCAGGATTATCAGTTTAAAAAAGCTCCCTGAGTGTGGCAACTAAAAATGATTTTGAATTACATGCTTCTTTGAAATTATTATTTATGTCTCCAGCGCGCAGATCAAAAACATCAAAGCATGTAAGAGACGGCTTCCTAAAAGTAACAGTTATTTGTAAGTTGGGCCCTTCAGGATGACCTGAGTTTAACCTCGCTAAACATCCCATTTAGACACGTGAAATCATAGGACAAATAATTGGCATAATGACTGTGGAAGTTCCGGGAAAAGCAACAGTGACCAGACACATCAGACAGTTAGTCATACGACAGCCAGACAGTCAGAGAAGGAGGTGGGTCCCACTGTACCTGATCCAGGTGAAACTGTGTGGTTTGGGGTTTCCTCCACTCACGCACCTCAGGGCAGCATTCTCCAAACCCACGAACCAGTCTTTATTGTAGCCAGACACCTCTGCATGCGGAGGGACTGGGAGGAGGAGCAAAAAAAATGATCAGCTTTAATAAGTTGAGGCAAGTTAAGAAGAAAGGAGGAAGTCTACTGTTTATGGCATGAAAGGATCAAATGTATTTAAGGTGGAATATCCAGGCTTTTAACTGCCTCAAATGAATGCAACACTAATATCATAACAATTATTACACATTTTATTTTCTGCCTTTTCATGTTGAAGCCTCTCAATGGATCTCTAACCTCCTGGTCATTTCGATGAATACTCACAGTGCACCACCAGGTTGTTTCGGATTCTGCGGGGCGTCTGGAAAGCCGGATGCCACACCAGACAGTCCAGCTTCTTGCCGTTCATGTTCCTCAGCGGGTGCAGGGAGTAGTGCGAGGAGACCGCCCCGTTGTCGAGGGAGCGGTTGAGGGACTGGCCGTTCAGGTCGGTGTCCCAGGTCAGCCGGGGAGGAGGGTGGGCTATGGAGCGACAGTAAGCGGCCTGCCGGTAGGACTCTCCCTCCACCAGAACCACAGGGTCCAGGGAGGAAATGGGAACGGCTGGTAGGAGGGGGATTGTTACAGCGTTAGATCAGAGTGACAATAATGACAACACGCTGAGCAGTTAGTGTTGAATGCACACATATGCCTGAACAGGTATTCAAGAGCTAAGATGGGTGGGGCGTGGTTGGAGAAAGGTGGTGTCACAGAGTTCCTTTTCTTTACACTTTTCAGTCATATAATGGGTCATTCGCTCAATTCACCCAATGCCCCTTCTACTTGATTTTTATTTTTAAGTGGTGAATACTGACTGAGTTAACCATGTGTACAAACTTTAGATAACATTAGTATTTTAGTAAAAAAATTCTTTAAATATTTTTTAACAAATTTGCACCGTCATATAATTGGTGTGTATTATTCTATCAGAGCGTGATTGTACTATTGAAGACTACACGAACACATCAATAAACCTACAAAATTTCAGGACAGTAGCACTATGTCTTAAATTATGGCCCTTTGAACATTGCTCGACAGATTGGCACAAAGACAACAATAAAAAAAAACAACAAACCTGACCACGTTTTCCTCACTAACATACGTGTGCACGGGGAGAGATTTTTAGGTGTAATTTTTCTTTTTAAAATTTGGTTAAATGAGGTGGAATGACCTTAATAACTTTATAATAATAACAATAATTTAATTTTCAAGTCCCTGGTTAAATGACGTAGCTATGACTCTACACTCCTATAGAATAGGATAGATAAAGTCCCCATTCCACTCAAGTCTACTCGTTTGCTGCAGCTCAGCACACCAGCTCACTTACAGCTCTGCTCAAACACTGCACTCTTTAGTACACAATGGCAAGTTGTAATAATGCAGTAATAAATGTTTGACGGGGAAAGCGATTGTAAAGAAAAGCACTGATGCGAAAAGTGCAACACGATTCCATAGATTTGGTCCATATGAATCTCTGGCCAACTGAATCAGTGTTGTTGAGGCCGTTAAAAAGTGGAAATGCAATTTTTCTTATGATGTCTTCTAGCATATAAAAAAAAAAGTAATCATAATGGCATGTTAACAAAGAACTTGTTTTTCAGCAGACCGCGTCCTTAAATATACAATTCCACAGAAATAATTATCATCATCAAATAGTACTTGCACTGCAGTATGTGGTTACAATCTAAATGCTAGACAGTCACCAAACCTGTAATCAGCATCAATGCAGCCATGGTTAAGGTGCCAAAAAGGTCAGATCTTTTGCATCCATGAAGAATTAATCTTTGCCTCAGCTTCAGTTTTTAATGTGAGTTTTAACTACTTTGTTAAGGCCCCACATTTTCAAGAAATAGATTTTAATCCGGACCCTTAACAAAATTGCATTGCAACCTGATCTGGACCGATATCGAATAACATTTCTACGAGGAAATGTATGAAAACTATGAGTAAAGAAATATTTGTCCATTATCAAAATAACTTGCTTGATCCAACAATCTTGGACCCTGTGCTACTTTTGCAAATGGATCCATAGGCCTTATATTGGAGTAGTGTAGTTTAGTTAAGAGATTAAAAACAAAGGACTTAACTAATTTAATAACACATATAGAGATGATGTGATCAAAGGAGTGCTAAAAAACTGCTGGCAATTAGAGACTCACTCCACACGGTGAGCGACATCTCTCTGTCAAAGTTCCCAGTAGGAAAGACGTTGACGTGGCAGATGTACTTCCCCTCATCGGAGACCTCTGTGTTCATGATGACCAGCGACGAATCCAGGGTGGGCTCGCTGCTTTGAAAGCGCACACGTTGGGACCACGTTCCAAACGCTGCAGACAGAAGAGAGAGAGAGAGATGCAGGGCAAGAGAAGGAAGGAGAAGCACAGAGTTAAAGGAGCATGTGAGGAAGGATGTGACTCGAAAAATTAAGTCCAGTGAGTTGAAAGCGGACCTCAGGGTTTCCTTTGTCACTTTGACTTCCGTGCACATGCCTGCACCCTTGCATTAAATTAAATCACATTCTGGGCATTCGGCGGCTCACAACCCTATCCACTGTGTCTCACGACTAGTAGAAGCTTCAATCACTTCAAATTACAAGAAACCAAAAATAAACAGTGCGTCCCAGTCTTGGCATCTTTGGAATATTCCTATGATATCACAGCAAAATTGTCAGAAAACTCTTTTAGATGGTTGTGAATTCTTGCCTCAGAGCTCTGTAAGCACTGTGAGTAGAGAAACAAAGCCTCCAAACAACACTTGTCAACCGGAACTGACAAATCAACTTGTAATACCAACAGAAAACTTGCTCGGTGCAATGTTAGAGGGAGTGAGTGTGACGATTAAGAAAACATTTCTGGCAGGAGGAAAGGGGAAGTAATTAGGTGTGAAGGCATTCTTGATGGGATTTTTTTTTTTTTTAGCATGCGGCAGAGGATGTAAAGAGAACATAACACTAGTAAAGCCAGACCACAGCGCCAACCTACCTGTATATCCATCTACGTGGTGTGCGAGGATGATCTGTTCTCTGGTGTTGTCTGGTTTCTTCTTGTACCAGGTGACCTGCACCACCACAACGCCCTCACTTGTTGGCACGTAGCGACATGGCAGGATGGTCTCTTTCTCCGCCAAAGAGCGTAAGGCCTGGTTTGGAGAGGGCTCCACAAACTCTCCATGTAGCACTAAAAGAGAAGGATAGATACATCATTTTTTATAAAAGATTGAGTACACTGAGCGATTTCCCAACATAAAATCATGGTTTCAAATGAATGCAAATGGCATTAAAGTAACTGCAAAGCAATTGACTACAGCATGAACATTTTTGGAAACACTCATATTTGCTCACTTCAAGCTCAGTTTAGCCTGTCTAGACTAGAAATAGTAGCAAACTGTCTGCGTCTTAATGTTACAAAATCCATCTAACAGCACCACAAAAGCTCACTAATTAAAATGTCACATATTATTGTGTTCTGACAAGGCACAGAAAGCCCCAATAGCTGTTTCCACATGTTAAGAACATGATGTCTAGAGTGACCCAGTAGCCCAGACGCCCTGGGCAGCAGATCCCCGTTCCGATGCATGCCATTCCTCACATTTAAAGTCTTTCCTCCTCTGCCACTATAAAATAAAAGCAAAAAGCCCCAAAACAAACCTTAATGCAGCTATTGTTAGATCATTTCCCAATACGCTTACAGACAGAGGAAAGGCACTAAAGATGCTGTTAAGCTTGTTAAGCATTTGAAGACACGAAAGCTTCTGCGAGCCTCCATTTTTTTGTTGATTTTTAGCTCTGCTTCTAACACCCCTCTGACTCACGTATTAAATCCAGAATATGAATCAGATGAGTGTCAACCCCATACGGTGGTTCCAGCATGTTAAGGTCAACAACAGCCTCTCTGAACCCAAATCAGCACAGGTGCCTCCAAGGTTTTTTTCTACATTGTATGCAAATGTGAGCATACAGTCTTTTAACTGCATATTTAAATTCCCTGATGACACTGCTATCCTGAGCTGACTGCACAGAGAATAATCATTATTTGTATAGAATTATAGGGAGAATTCCGTACATCAGTGAGATAATAACCACTGCGTTTTGAAGGTGAAGGAAACCCAGTGGTTATCTACAACACTCCCAATAATCAAGTATGCTTCTTTTAGTATCTCGGTGTCCACGCTGATGACATGTTTACCTTAACCTGTGCTCCCTGCTGCGGGAGAGGTAACACTTTGTGAGCAGGCTCAGGGTGTAAGAGATTGACCAGGAATATATGAACCTGTTTTGCCAAGCAGTATTGGACAGCCTCATGAGATACAGGATATAGGCAGGGTATGACAACCTCTTCATAAAGGTCACAGGAAAGACAGACCAGTCCCTTGAGCGCTGGATGACCCATCCATTGTTCTTTACTCTAAGCGCGAGCTCTAGTAGTTGATATATAGAACCCAAGTGCCCACTCCGTCATTCTGAAAACTCATTTGAGCCTTTTATCATGTAACAGTGTTGTCATAGTACGAACCTTGGAGTCCTCATGGGAACTTGTTAGGATGAACGGGTTGTGCAATGTTGTTTTAAGTTGTGCAGTATGTTGTTTTAAAGGTTTTATTAACAGCATTTGAATGTGTGTACAAATGGATACTGGTGTGTGGCTGACTGTCACATGTCTTTGTATTCAGTTTGTTAAATGTCACTAGCCCAAGACAATTTTACCAAGGGGACAATTAAGCAGATCATACTGGGTCATATGCTAAGCTAAGCTAATGATCCCCCAGATTTGCTGATATAAGGAATAAACATATTTCCCAAACTGCCAAACTATTCCTTTAATATTTGTGACCGGACCAAAAGATTTAGTGAACATGTTTGCGGGAGGTAATATGAAAATATGATAAAATAAATTCAGTGTTTGAAGGGAGCACGGAAAGGGTTTTAAAGACAAACAGCGAAGACAGAAAAGAAGGAGGAGAGAGAAAACAGGACGACTATCAGAAGAGCTGAGCACAAGTGAAGATATGTCGCATAACGAGTTGCCCGAGATAAGCTTTCAAAGCAAACTTACAGAGTCAACCTCAGTGTCTGGACCGAGCAGACATACAAAGGGGCCCCAGAAAATATAAATAGGGCCTACACAGTATACTATATTGTGTGTTTCACAGCGTTGCGACACTTTAACCACAAACACCCAACATTTGCATGAGTTGTCTGGGAGTTTTTTTTCCCTCTTTTTCTTACGATTCTTTCCTTCTACTTCTCTGTTTACAGCTCAAATTTGCCAACATGTTTGATGTTGACAACAATGTGTCACTAATCTTCTACTGTCCTCCAGCAATCACATCATGTACACACACCCACAAAACACACAGGTTCCTGTTGTTGTTGCCTGCAACCTGTATTTAAAGGTTAAATTGAGTTAAAAAAGCTTGTTTGCACCTGTCAGGGGAATATCTCTCACGACACGCTGTTACAGTAAATCTGAAAGAAAGAGCTGCGGAGCTTCTTCAAATGCAAACAGGTGCATTGTTTGTGTAGGACACCTGTCATTATACTGCTGCTCTTGGCACCAAGTTCACGTCATTGGTGACTGATTTAGTTTTCGAGGGTGACGTTTCTAGACGGCGATGACCCTGTTAATGACAAACAACTTGAATGGAAAATGTTTTCCAGCAAATGGATGATTTCCACGCACTAATGGTATATCAGCTCACAACATTACAGGCCTTATGTGTGTAAGCTGAAAAACATGACAGGTGCCTTGTTTCATCAGATAAGTTTCAATCGGACCAGTTAAAACCAATTCTAACTTGTCTTACTGGTAGATTGCAGTATGTTTTCATAGGCCAACATTTTCAGTTTCACTCTTATAAGATCATCGTCCAGGTTGGACCTGTTAAAACACAGCATTTACCCAAATGTGAAAGTATCAAAATACTTCATGTGCAGGATTAATGGCAGTGACTTGAGCTGCTGTTGAGCACACTTAACATTCACCATGTTCACCATCGTTTTTTAGCATGTTCGCTAATTAGCTCAAAACAAAAAGTCCAGCTCAGGCCGATGAGAATGTTGTGAAAAATTATCAGACAATGGCATGATTATGGAAAGTTATGCATTCGCTAAAGCCACTACGATTCATCCTGAGGGGAGCATGAATGTCTCAACAAAATGAACGGCAATCCGTCTAGTATCTGTCAACACATCACTCTAAACCGCAAATATAAGCCTCAAGGTGGCTCTAGAATAGAAGTAAAGGGGGAGGTTCATCCTCCTTGGACCATGAACAAATTAAATGCTAAATGTCATGGTGTCAATTGTTGCATAAGTTGATGGAAAAATGGTAGAAAGACCGACTAGCAGGCCGTTTCAAACTACCATCGATACAGCTATCGAGGTACCATGGCTGGTAAACCAAAGAAAGTGAAGCTACAAAGCCAGGAGGATGAATCATGCAGCCTGACACTGTAATTTTCCTTGGCATCGCCAACATTTTTCTCTACTATCATGTAAACGATCGTTGTTTCATGTGGGAACAAGCCAGAAACCCCAGTTCCTTGGAAGCTTTACCAATTCTTGTCTATTATAAACCGTATCTCGTAATAATCAGCTTTTACTGTGACCTTTCTATAAGTTGGCAGGTTCTGATTGTTTGGTGTGTGAGCCTCATACAGATGTTGATTCAATACCTGATGTGGGAGAATCTGTTCAGATATGCCAGCGGGTGGGATGTGATTCATGCATTTACCATCAGTCCTGATGAGTGTGCTGAGGAGACAGGTGTGTTTTTTTTCCATATTTGTGTGTGTGTGTGTGTGTGTTTGTCATGCTGAGGTTTAAGCCGACTGTGGAATCTGCCTGTGCTGCATTATTGGAATAACACTGTGGGCCCATCCTGGACTGAACGGTTTTGATATGCCAAACTCTTATCTATCATTGCATTGCATTTTGGGAAATACTTTTATGGCTTTACTATATTCAGCTGAGCTTAGTGCACAATAATACAGTGTGTTTTGGTTTACTGTTTAACAGCATGGTGCTTCTTACAGAATCTCTCGTACACATTTAGGCTTAAGCAACACACGCACACTAGGAGGGTCCGTGTAGTTCCTATGAATCAGACAGGAGGAGGGGAACGGATCAACAGCAACCAGTTTTTCTTGAAATATCAGACAGTGCCGCGAGTGTTTTCCAACAGCCCTGCTCTAGCTAAAGTCTGTTCTCGACAAAAGCTGGCCAACTGCAAAACAGCTTCCTCACGAGATACTATCAGGCCGCCTTTAGCCCACACAAAACCAAAAGCTGTTTGTTATCACTACATATTTGTTATCTTTCTTGATGTGTAACGTCTTTCCAAACCACACTCATTCACTGACATCACAGGTACGACTACTACAGTTGTGGGAGATCATCGGAATATTGTGATACATAAAACCGCCTCCAATAAAGCCACTGTGTTGTCATTTGTGAGCATTGCAGTTATAGGAAGATAAAGTGATGAGCTGCAGAAAAATTACAGAAACACCGTAAAGTCTAAACAGATAAATACTGCTTTTTTTTTGTACATAGTGTATTCTCTTACCAAAGATCCTGAGGACACAGAGACACAGAGAGAGTCTGTTCAGCAGAGATGTCATCCTCCTCCCTTGGAGTTACTGTTAACTGTGCACAACTTGGGAGAATTTCAGCGCCGGAAAAAAGCTCATCAGTCCAGGTAATATGATCCTAAATGACAGGCAGGCATGAAGCACTGAGACGCACTCATGCCTCGTGCTGCTGGATCATCCTTGGTGATGTTTTGTTGAGAGTCAAATCCTTCCCAAAGTCCTTTCCAGAGCAAAAAAAATAAATAAATAAGAAGCTTTCTCTATATATATATATATATATCTGTAAAAGTTGGAGCTGTGGCTGTCAGTCCTTGTGAGAAATTGTGTAAATCCTGTCAGTTTGGTTGAGTTGTTAAGCCCACGCCATCATGTTTGCCTTTTGGTAAAAAGAAGGCGCAGCTTTACCTGTTTGGGATACACCTGTTTGCGCTACTGCCTCCCTCCCTCCCTTACTTCCTTCCTCCCTCCCTCCTTCTCTCTCTCTCTCTCTCAGACGCACACACACACACCTAGCGACTCACAGCCCACAAACACACACACACACACATTTGCACTAAAAGTCACCTTTCCGGTTTGGTTGAGGCAACATGACAGTTATTTTCTCGTCTTTACTTGCTCTGCTCAGAGGAGAGGCAGGTGAAAAGCAGCCACAAAGAAGCCGTTTAACCTGGGTGCAGATGATATATCACACGGCCGGACCGCCACAAAAGTAATGGAGCCTACTCCCTTAATAAGAAAACACATTAATCCTTTATTTTTAAAGGGATAATCGTAAACATCACCAGTCACTATGGAGATTTTTCATCCTGTAGAACACAGCTTAAACCCATCTGCATATATTAAATCTCAAAACACTCCAGTGTTTACACATAGGTAATGGTTTATTCCAAAGGAAATGTGATAATCTACAGTCACTTCATAAATCAACAGGACGTCCTCCTTTGTTGATTTGCCCTCCTCACCCAATCACATTACAATCTCTGCTGAACAGGTTTTGATCTGTCAATGTGATACACATGTCGATTAAATCTTTTAGCACTCTGTGTAAATAATGTCAAATCACTGTCAAGAAAAGGTTTGTTTTTGCTTATTTTGTGGTTGTGTAGCTTAAGGCTAGAGGTAACACCTGAAAGCAACTTCTAAGAGACAACGTTGCCCTAATTTTGAGACAGACAAACTTCTTTAATTTGCATACTTAAGGTTTTGCATATGTATGTACATGAAACACCCTTTGGGCTTCTACAGGCTGAAGCTTACATTCAAAACATCCTCTATGTGTGTGTGTGTGGACAGAACCACAGCAAGGACACCGTCACTGCCATCCTGTGGTGTTTCGGAAACACTGCTCAGTAAAGCTTTATTTTGAAAGGATAAATAATGTTCTCTCAGCCTTAAAAATAATAATACATTCTTCCTTTTTTTTGTGCAAACCATTTTAACACCCTTACAAAATTACTCTCATATTCACACACATGCACAAACAATCTTCCGAACAGCTTAAAAGAGGAACTGAGTTGTGCAGTCACAGTTTCGGCATAGCAATGTCAAAGAAAGGGATATTTGTTTTTTTTTTATTTATAACTATTGCAATATAAAATATATCTAAAGCATTAAAATATGTTGGCATCTTTCCATTAAAAACAAAAGGGAGGTGAACACTGGTGTGCATAATCTTGTATACTCTTTAAAAGCAGGGCAGGATGTGCAATATTTAAATACAAAGAGAAAAAAGAAAGAAAGAAAAGGTGATTTTCACTGATCACTTCTTCATGCCGATTGTTTCGTATGTGTCCTGGGCGTGAGGAGTCAGACCCTGTAGGGAGGACAAAGAGAGAGGAAATGAGAACATCATCGTCACCATGATTAACTTTCATCTCCTTTATTTCATTCACTGAACTCACCGTATATATGCCCTCATCAGGATTCTGACAAGAGAAGATAAGAGCAATGTCAGATTTAGTGAAAGAAAACATACATTGTGACAGGAATTATAATAATAATTTCTTTCTTGTTATGTGAGAAATGCACACCGGAAAGAGCAGAGAAGCATCACTGTGGGTTGAGGCTGAGTGTTGTAGGTGGTCGGTTATAGGAGATTTATACTCCAGCTGTACATTTATAGCTGCATGCAAGTCAGCTTGCAAAGATGCAGTCATGGAAGTTGTTACAAAAGCTGACATTTCTATCTATCCGTCATTCACTGATGTGCAATTTTCTTTTTTTTTCTTTTTTTTGCATGATGCTGTTTATGCAATACTTGTTTCTCATGATGTTGTTGATAAGCGTTCCCAGAAAAGTTTCTCTTATCTTATCGAGTTGCAAATCAAATGTACACTCCAGCAACATTCTGGTGACATATGAAGCAACATTAAAGCAGCATTTTTTTTAAAAACCAATGAAAATTAATGCATCGATACCTAAGATGTCTTAACTTTTAGAGGTTAGTAGGTTCAAATCACACCGGTTCCTACATTTCCCTTACTATGGACATCTTTTCAGCCGTCCCTGACTTGTAGTTGTCCAAGCTTTAAGTTGATTAAAAGATTCATTTTTTTAGCCTCCATAAGTTCCTCTGATGCTACAGAGCAGTGCAGCCGAGCAGCAGTAAATCTACTTTAAAATGTAAAATTGATAGCCCTTTAATGCCATCTATAGGCTCAAACATGACATATCTGATCATATTCTCACACTCCTGTTGAGAGGATTAAACTCTTCTAAATGTATTACAAGTAGTTACTTGACATTTCATAATCTACAGCGCTAAACGCAAGATTCTTATCACATGTGGGCAGCATTGCATGGAAACATAAATTCATCAGAAGGCTAATATTTCAGATTTTTGTGCGATAACGTCGCCAGAGCGTACAGAGAGGCGTCTCATTGGTCAGCGATGAGAGAGAGAAATCTAAACTTTTCCAGAGCCAAAGCATCACAATAGTTAAACTCACCACAAACAAACTCTGCCAGTAAATAAACTCACAATAAGTGCATGTGGGAACGGAATGTAGCAACTTCATTCTTCCTCTTTCTTTTTCTTTTTTTTTCTTTTTTTTTTTCACGGTCAGACCTCAGCGTGTCGATTCAGTGCGGTTTGACCTGACCAGTGAGATTATTTCTGAATGTGGGGGATCTCTGCCTGCTGGCCTGAAACTCTACTTTGTGCTGTTGTGTTGTGTCTCTGCTGCCCGCATGCATTTTAGAGACCACGTTATGTCTCTATATGGATTTAGGCGTGTGAGAGTGTGTTTGCATGTTTGTTCTTACCTGCTTTGGTGTTTCTGCCTCAGACTTTTTAGCATTGCAGATCTGTAGAAGACAATAACGAATTAGGCACAACTAAAATAATCTATATTTGTGTAGGTAGTATCATGTCCATCTATTCATCTTGCCTCCACAGTCGTTATAAAAATGAAAATGAGTTTTAATTCGGAGCAAATATATGAGTTTATGAGTCTAAAACATACATTTTCTTACTTATTGTTACCTTCATTTTAGTTAACTACACCAACCTTGCTTTACACACATGTTCATTCTCTTTAAATAAACCATCCAGCAACAACCAAATAGTCTCCAGTGCTGGGAATGACTTTACAATTAATGGTTGTAAACGTAAGCAAGTAATCGCCTTTGATCACCTTAATGCCAAATATTGAAATAAAGACAGGAGAGAAGGAATACTGATAAGATGGCTTTTACTTCAGTGTATTCTGTATTGTCTGTGTATTGCGGTACTATTTCTTTGTTTAAATATGTGCTTGCTAAAAATCCCTGATTTTACCAAATGTATTCGATTATGTCTTTTTAATGGATCTTTAACAGAATACATTTACTATCATTCCATCTAAAGTACATAACACTGTTCCATGTAATCCATTAGTTTCCCCCTTGTACTTCCTCTATGACTGAAAAAAAAGAAAAATCTCAATCTAAAGACATTGCTGATGTCAGTACATCACTATATGGCACTATAACAGTCAAGGATTTCATATTTTTTTGCTGTATTACTCGAATGTTTCGTCTACTTTATTTTGCAGATGACACCCTATTGTGCACGCAGACAATAATGAACTAGAACACTTTCCATGTACTGCCTTTTGCTTCATAACAGATTATTCCCTTGCATATATCCATAATCTATTATATATATACTTCTGCAAAGACAAACAAACAGCATGCAAACCTTGATTCTGCAGTAGAGAGCTGTCAGGATGACGCCGTACAAGAACAGGATGCCATCCAGCACGTAGCAGATCTCGGGCTCTTGAAGAGCAGCTGAGGAAAGACAGGAGAGAAAACCATAAGAGCAGCACTATTACTGTTAATAACACTGTTATAACTAAGTGATTAGGAACTCCATCTGATACTTTGTGTGTGACCGGTCTCAGCGATGATAGTATGGTTCCGTTGTCATTTATGAGTAGATGGCAGCGCTCTCACCATTTCAGATTGTGAAACAAACAGCAACAGCAGCCATTACATAAGAAACCAAAATGTACAGAGCAAACTGTTCATTATCTCAAGCAGCACTGGTATGGTGCAGGTCATGGAGACATATGGAGTATTAATTTGTGCTAATAGAAAATGTTGCTTTTGTTTCACACAATAACAGCAATAGCATGATAGAAATATGAATAAACAAAAACAGTATGGACATTTTCAGATAAATCAACCATTGAGCAACTGTAACATTTCAAAAATATATATTATTAAGCAGGCACATTAGAAAATGAAAGGAAAATAAAGTAATAGAAGTGATTATCTTGTTGCTCTCCAATAAAGGAAATCGTGTTACTTCTTTTTTTTTTGAACAATCAACAACTTCAATCTCCTCTGAATCCCCTATAGATGTTACTTGTGCTATCATTCGATCAGCTACTTGAAGAAACATGCTTATCAGTGGTGTGGGGGGAAGAAAACTTTATGTTGATAATTCAAACTGCAAGGATCAACAATCGCTTTGCACGAAGTATGATGGAGGTACAAAATTGTAAGAGTTCTGCTTATAAATGTACTTTTAATAAAGCCTGTAAGATTTTCTTTTTTAATAAATAAATAAACCCTACCCTTTGTAACCCAGCTTTTCAAACTTTCTTTTGGTTTCTGTCTCAGCCTGCGTAGTGCACACATCGAAGGTCACACCGCAAAAGGCTTTTATTGTGCCCTTAACCTCGTCTGCAAGGGAAAAATATGTTGCAAAAATTACAGGAGCATTCTTCTACAAAAGTACAGTGACAACGGGTCATGTTTTCGCTCATGAATATCTGACAGTGAGTTCAACATGTAAATGTTTCTGAGGACACAGCGAATGCTTTTGGAAGGCATAGACTCAAGGTTAGCAGTTCCTGAATGAAACACGGAACTGAATGTTGTATGATTGTATGAGAGTGCCAGGGTTTTGTACTTATGCACAGGAATTTCTCATTTCTCATGGGTTATCAAAACTATGTGACTCTGCCTTTAACTTTCTTTTCTAACCTCTTTTGAATGGGTCGTTTGTAATGTAAGCGCTCATGCATGTCTTCAGAGGTTACGTAATGATAATCCCAATTATTCTTTTTTTTTTTTTTTTTTAGGAAATATCATTCTGTAAACTTTTATGTTGCTTTATTATTCTTTCTGTTTTTTTTGGTTTTTTTAGCATTATTTTGTCCTCCTCCTTTCTTCTGCTCAATACCACCACTGGCCAATCAGAGCTGTGGCTGCTGTGGCTCGGGCTTCATTAAGTTTGCTTAATTGAAAAGATGCGCTAATGGGAACTCTAGTAAAATGGTTCATACTTGTCTTATAAAAGTTTCAACTTTAATTTGTCTTGAAATTATTTAAAGCTATAAATGATAACAAAACTTTATTCTTTTTTTTCTTTTTTACAAAGTTTCTCTTCATAAAACACATTTTATTCAGGAAGTAACGCATTAATTTTCTTAATTGCTTGTCTTTTTTAGTGCATTATTTAAGTCAATGCAATTACCCAATTCATCTTTTTAAAATTAATTTCTATATCTTAATTTTATGTATTCCTTTAATTCAAGAGAACTATTCCCACCACTTACCTAAATGCATGGTTACGAGACTAAAAAATAAGATTAATTTAAAAAAAAAAAAAACTAAACTCTATTTTGATCAGTGCATCAACTTAATAGTGTTTGTAATTTGAACTCAAATTAGTTGTTTTTGTTTTTAAATATTTAAATATAGTGTACAGAAACAAATACTGCATTTCAAAATGTAAAAAAAAAAAAGATAATTAAAAAAACAAAACAAAAAAGGTTAATCCAACAAAAAAAACTGGGGAGAATACATATGTTCCCTAAAGTCTACAACCACAACAAAAACCTGAAAAAGCCCAAAACTACAAAAGAAAATCAGATTGAAGCGCCTTTGTTTTTAAAATCTTTCGCAACTTAAAAATCTGTGTTTGTAATTATGACAATTAGTTATATAACACTAACAATGTCTTTTAAATGATGTATAAATAGTACATGGATCAGCTTAAAAACTTGTGTTTATGCAGCTATGTTTCAAATAAAAACAGCGCTGATTGTAGAGGAAGAACAAGTTCCTCTGTGTCAGTGTAGTCTGTTGGTTGAACATAATGTCATCAGTATGTATTTAACTAGCATGTATTTTACATGTGTTGTTATGTGCTGCTTGTTTTTAATTGCTGTAACTTTAATGTTTCTCAGGCTGCTGCCTAGGCCAGGCTTCCCTTGAGAAAGAGGTCGTTGCACCTCAACGGGACTGACTTGGTTAAATAAAGGCTAAACAAAAAATAAAGAAGTTGTCATAACTTAAAAAGAGTTGATGCAAACTGTTGCTGTATTTAAAAAAAAAAAATTTGTCAAGCCCAAATATAATTTGCCAGAATGTACATAAATAAAGGCAGAAATTGATGCAAAAAGGAAGAAATAGGTGCATAAAAAATGTTTTTGACACTTAAAAACCTCCATTTCCTGTCCCCCCTCCTAATAAACCTACGCACATGCATTTGTGTCCTTCATTTATTTTTCTACATTTAGAACGACGACAACTTCTCAATCTCAAAATCCCCCCAAACAACAAACGTCATTTTCTATTCCGTCCCTTTTCTTCCCACTTTCTTTCTCTTCCATTATAAACTCAAGGAGATGAATCACTTCTCTAAAATCTAAGCTCACATGATTGTGCTCCACGGAGACTCATTTCCGAAGGCCGACTCCTTTTCAAAGTGACAGTAAAATTACATTTCCACTTGCTTTCTGTCCCCCCCTCCTGCCTTTCTTCTTTCTTCTTTAACAAAGACCCTGACTTTATTAAACATTTCGGATTGGGAGTCCTGGAGTGGAAATGACTTGCGAAGCCAGCAGGCGAGTGGAGCTGGTGGCGGCTCTCTTTCAGCTCTTACATGTTGGTGTTGCCTGTGAGCCTGTGAGATGTGGAGCGCTATCAGCAGTGACATCTTTGGTTTCTGCATGTAGCAAGCGGCGCGGTGTTAAAAGGAAATAGCAAACCTAAAATAACTGATAGCCTGATATTAATGTGGAACTTAAACGTAAGCATGAGTGGAAACCCGCTGACACTATGTTCATGCATTCAGGCCTTTTTCTTATTTGTACGACTGCTGTGTTTGTTTCTCTTGGCTCTCATGGTAAAAATCTATTTTCTTTGTAGTTTTTAGGCTTTAGAATAAATTCTCTGCTCGGCACATAAAGCGCACAGGTGAAACAGGTTTTGGTTTTTTTAAAAACGAGAGGTTTCCTTTTCAAAATTTCACACACCAGCTGGCTGTGACTTCGGCGCCCCAGCTACTACAAGTAGGTCACAGTCGCTTGTGGTTTTGAATAAAAAGTGAAATATTTTAGGTGGTCTTACACATTTAATAAAATGACTATTTAAAATACACAAGGGCTACAGCTAAAACAATTATTTCCATCCCTGACTGCTCTGCTGCTTATTTTCAATCAATAGTTTGGTCCGTAAAGTTTTATAAAATAAGAAAGAAATGTGGTTTTTTTTTTGTCAAACTAACATTTTACAGCGTCGAAGGAAATCATGTGAAAAGCGACAACGTTAGATTTATTTCTTTTCGAAAACTGACTTAGAGAATAGCAGATTAATTTAAAGTATTTATACTTAACCTGCCTGCTGTCAGATATTGTAAACGTCTCCACATACGATATGTATAAAGTTTTCTGATTAATTTCCTTCATCTTGCAATTTTTAAAAAAATTTTAAGACTGCTGTGGCGCAGTTTAATAGACATCAGGTAAATGTTATGTGGTTCCTTTTCTAATGCTCCAAAATACATACTGGTAAATACAGAATTACTTAAATGTGAATGCAGCTGGACTAATTCGCAGCAGTTTAAATAAAAGTGCCCCACCACAAGCACAACACGGTCAGTTTCTTTACACAGGAACTGTAATGTGGTGACATCTCTGCTGCCTACACTGAGCGGAATAAGGCCAAATGTCAGAGAACCTCCCTGCTCTTCATACAGATGGGCGTACATCTGCTAAAATGGTGCACTTTTTAAAAAAAAACCCTCCACCCTAGTTAACTGTAATCAACACAACCTTCTGATTTTGTGTCTTAATTAGGCCGTTCTATCAAAACTATCTAAACATACTGTTCAGTTTTCCTCATCAGCTTTTTAAAAAAAAAGTCTTTGGATATTAAATCCCAGTTAAACCCCCAAGTGATAGAGAAAAACTTTTTTTTTTTTCATCACAACTCACCAGCTCTCCCAAAACTCAGCCACAAAGGAATGGCCACCAGTAGCGGGTCCATAATAACGCGAGCTCAACACGGTCAACGGGGCTCCTTCAGCAGCCAGCAAAACAGGACAACTCGCGGGTGCTTGTTCTGTGCGTTCTGGCGAAGACTAGAGTATTGCATGTCTCGCAGCTATGAGGGGAAGTTGTGGTCGCAGCTCTAAGTCCATTTGTCTCAGATCTCATCAGACCACTCCCCCCCCTTCAAACACCATCGAGGCTTTGGTCTCTGCTGTCATGTCGAATTCTTGATTTCTCAGGTTTTAAGGCAGCTAGAGGAAACGGAGCATTTCAAAAGAATAGCGGTTTGAACCTCGTAAAGCGTTTCAACCTAAAGCAATGTGGGGAAAAAAAACACACAAGTGTCTACTCGGCTGTTTTGGTCATAAAGTATTTATTAGGTGTATTTGGACATTGTACATCTGTGATTATATGCTGTCAAAACAACACTACAGTGGATAGAGAACAGGAAGAGAAGCTCAGATGTGAGAATGAAAGACTGAATCCTCCTCTTTAGAGAACCAACACTGTACAGCGGCAATTCACATCAACGGTCAACCTCGCCGAACACGATATCCTGTGTACCTGTCGGAAGAAGAAGTAGAAGGGTGACGATGACGCAACCGCACGCAGATGCTCACTTCTCTATTTTTAGCGTCATTTTGAGACGCTTTTACATTTTTAGGACATCGTTCTCACCAATAATGGCCACCACGTCGGCCAGCATGTGTCCTTGGGCCATTTTATCCAGACCAGCCTGGAAAGAAGCAAAGAAGAATAAGCGGCGGTGCACGGAGGATGAGCGAGAAGTTAATTTTCATAATTCAAGAGATTGTAGCCTGAAGTTAATGCGCTAACTACTCTAATAGTTTGTTTATGCAACTTTAAAGACATTTCTAGCCTTGTAGACCGAAATTCAAATGACTGTGTTAAACTGCGGTTCATGTACCCATGAGCTAAGAGACGAACAGGAAGGAGGGAGAGACGAGCCTCTGTGTGTGCTTTTAAAAATGGTTCCATAATACTTTAGAAAATGTAGTTAATGAACTAAAAGCAGCCTTAAGGACAAGCCGTTAAACATGCTGAATAATTGAGAGCCGGTGTGTTTAATATTTCACGGTGTCTTGTGAAGTTTTAAGTGCGCACCAAGTGAGCGAATCCGGGAGCTTTGATCTTGCAGCGATAGGGTCTGCTGGAGCCGTCTGACACCAAATAAACACCGAACTCTCCCTGCAAGCGACACACGGGGACACAGAAACACACTTCAGTAAGCATATTACATCACAATGAGCATCTAAAGGCGAACAAAGGCCTAATTAAGACTCAAACACAACCTTATGTATGTTAAGAACCAGCAGTTTGAAGTGGGGCGACTAATAAAGAAAGTACACATATTTTTATTAGCAGGAATTGTTTGGTAAAAAAAAAAAGCAAACAGGAAGTTATAACAGGAGGATACAACCCTGTAGCATACAACATAAAAAATAAATCGCCCCTCAAGTGATTGTATTATTTCAAAGTAATCAAAATGAAAATACAGGCCCAGAAGTATAAACTCAACACCCAAGTTAGAAATCCTGTGATCGCTGAAAAAAAACTGTGTCCAGGATTTTTAAAAAATTGTGACAAGTTCCTCAGTTTTGGACCTCAGTTTCCACATGGAAGTTGTCAGAGCGATTGAAAAAATCTGAGACAATTGTGAGTCACAGAGATGATCAACTAAAAAAAATAAGCTCAGAGGGTTATAGAGTGAAAAATATGACCACTAATAAGAGCTGTTGTATTCCTAAAATAATACCCAGACAGTGCGCTACTTTCACAATTAAGCGTATCGAAGCGCTATCAAAGGAAGTTTCTGTG